AWAWWAWMTGAGCATCCTACAGTATTTTTACAGTCTTTATTTTACAGTTAAAGTATATGTTTATCATATAAAGTCTAATGTTACAACTAATCGGGGATCCCTTTAACAACACTCAAGTGTTTGGGAACTGAGGACACTGACTGTTGAAGATGTGTGGCTGGAATTCTTTCCCATTCTTGCTTGATGTACAACTTCAGTTTCTCAACAGTTCAGGGTCTCTGTTGTTGTATTTTGCTCTTCATAAAGTTTCACACATTTTCATTGGGAGAYAGGTCTGGACAGCAGGTGCAGTGTCGTACCTGCACTCTTTTACTATGAAGCCATGCTGTTGTCACACGTGCAGAATGTGTCGTTGTCTTGCTGAAATAAGCAGAGACGTCCCCAAAAAAGACGTCACAAGATGGCGGCACGTTGCTCCAAAACCTGTATGTAGCTTTCAGCGTTAATGATGTCTTCACAGATGTGCAGGTTAGCCATGCCATGGGCACTAATACAYCCCCATACCATCAGAGAAGTTGGCTTTTGAATGTTGCACTGAAAACAAGCTGACGTTTCCTCTTTTATTTATTTTGCTCAGAGGACACAACAACAACCATAATTTCCAAAAACTATTTGAAATGTGGACTCATCAGACCAAAGGACACTTTTCCACTTTGCATCAGCCCATCAGATGAGCTCGGGTCCAGGGAAGCCGGCTGCATTTCTGGGTGTTGTTAATATAAGGCTTTGGCTTTGAACAATAGAGTTATAAGTTGTACTTTGTAGATGTAGTGATGAACTGTGTTCACTGACACTGGTTTTCTGAAGTGTTCCTGAGCCTTTGTGCTAATATCCGTTACAGAATGWTATTGTTTTTTATGCAGTGCCACCTGAGGGATCAAAAGTCACGATCCTTCAATAGTGGTTTTCAGCCTTGCTGCTTACTTTCAGAGATTTGTCAAAATCACTGTATCTTTTTTATGATTTTATGGACTGTAGATGATGAAATCCTCCTTGTAAACAAGAAACTGTTTTTAAACTGTTGGTCTATTTGCTCACACAGTTGTTAACAAAGTGGTGAACCTCACCCATCCTTGCTTGTGAACAACTGAGCCTTTCAGGGATGCTCCCTTTATACACAATCATGACACTYAGCCATTTCCAGGTGTTTTCTTAACATTCCTCATCTTTCCCAGTCTTTTGTTGCTCCTGTCCCAGCATTTTTTTTAACATGCTGCAGGCATCAAATTCAAAATGAGTTTGATATGTATATATATATATATAACAATAAAATTTATTAATTTGATGTTAAATATCTTGTCATTGATTTTACGTTTAAAAGGATTTGAAAATCATCATATCCTGTTATTATTTGTGTTTTACACACTGTCACGACTTCTTTGGAATTGGGGTTTTAAAATATGCATTTTGGAGAGGCTGAAGAAGTAAATGGTAATGATGGGCAGAGGTTCACCAGTCTGTGAAAAACTGCATCAGAAATGTATGGAACAATTTCAGAATAGTGTTCTCAACAAAATTGTAGGAAGACTGAACATCCCATCATCTACAGTTTATAATATCAAATGATTTCAATTATCTGGAGAAATCTCTGAGCTGAAAGTCAGTATTAGATTTCTCTGATCTTTGGTCCCTCAGGTGCTTTAAAAAAAGGTCTGACCTATTCTGGACATCACTGCATGAACTCAGGAACACTTCTACAAATCACCATCTGTGCTTTACTGTGCCATCTACAAATGCTCGTTAAATCATGCAAGAGAGAAGCCATAAATTAACACAATTCAGAACTGATGTCTTCTATAGGCTGAGGTTACATCTTTTTTCATGGATGTTATAATCTGTGTGTTTTATTTAATATTCTGCAGTTCTTTGAGTTTATTTTAGTTTTTAAATTTCTGTGACTTGTGTTTATCTTTCAGGTTAGATCTTTATTCTGTTGTGTTTTTTTCATCATTCTTATTTCAGTTAGAGTTCCCTGTACCTTTTGTCATTTACCCTCAGTCTGCTTCCTCACTGTCAGTTTTCCACTCTCTCCTGTCCTCAATCAGCAGTCAGCAGGTGTCTCCACTTCTTACTCATCTGTTTTTTTTTATGTTCTGTCCCCTTCCATCACTACCTCAGCAGTTCATTGAAAATGTCTTGACACCATGTCTGCTTTTGTTTAAATAAATAAATTTTCAGTTTCCTCCTTCGTGTTTCCTCCTGTGTCTGCACTCTGGGTCCCCAAAGATGTTCATCAAGACGATGCTGTGATGTTTCAGACACAGTAATTAAGGAAATCTGTATCTTTAGATTTCAGAAAGCCTTTGTGTTTTTAATTTTTAGTTATTTTTATTTTATTTTATGACTGGTGCTCACGGGTGACAGAGTTGTTTTATTGTCTATGCAGCTGAGTATGAGAGATTGGGGTGTGCTCTCTTCCTTGTCCAGTAGAGGGCGGTCGCTTGTGCAGCATGTTCTGTTCAGGCTGTAAATAAACGTTGCTGTGAGGAACTTTCAGTTGCCTGCTCAGAAAGTTATTTTATTGAACCTGGTGGTATGAATAAATCAGAAATACTAAACTGCATCCATTACAACAGCATGGCGTCATGAAAACTTTGCCTTCAGTCCTGATCCCTCATCAGTTTTTATGTTTAAAGACAGAAAARAAGATGCTTAGTTAGCATTTGGCGTGTTGACTATGAATGTAATATGAGGTTTTGAGATTYGCAAATCACCGCATTTTGTTTTTCTTTACGCAATGTCCCAACTTGAATTGGCATTAAAAACCAGGATTATATTAACATGTATATTCTGACAGACTTATGCTTCTGATTAATTTCTTTAAAAAGTGGATTTTTTTCTTTTTGTTGGATTACACAATTATTTTTTGTCAAATGAAACGCTTTTTAGATGTCAAAATAAATTTATTTTTTAATTAAAGCAATAATCTGAGTCATTAAAGAAACTAATCACTGATATTTCCAACTTAAAAGTGTACTCTTCATTTTACTGAATAAAAACTGTCCCAATGCTTTGTGTGGTCCTCATCCACTTTACTCTTGAGCAGTGGTGGGTACAGTTCCTCTAAAGCACTAGGGGAACTAATTTTCTGATTAGTGCTTTAGGGCTTATGCTAATTTCTTAATTTATTAGTGGATTAGCACTTGCTAAATTTATGGGCTAAATTTAAAAGCACTGATTTAGTTCTTTAAATGTTATTGATCAACATTATTGTCAACAGCTGATGGTGAAAGCTGTCAGACGTGTTGTTCCCTTATTTACTAGATCAGTAGTTTTCAAACTTTTTTGCTTCCGACCCACAAAATAACAGTTGCAGACACTCATGACCCCATATATTACTTGTTTACGTATGCAAACTTTGCTTGTTAAACATGGGAAAAATTACTACATACAAACATAGTAATTATGATACTAACTTTTATTCATTTATGGTTATTTAAAAAAAATTGCAATAATCATGATGAAAATACTCCATTAGCTTTTTTTTTTTTACATTTAAATTGATGTCTGGAAGTCATCTGGACACTCACTTGATGTTTTGTGACCCACAAAGAGGTTCCGACACCAACTTTGGGAACCACACGAGATGCAATATTAATAATCTGCACACTGAAAATATTGTCTCATGTTGACTCTGAGGGATGTTCCATGGGTCAGCTGGGTTTTTAGTGCTTTAGAATTAGCTTTTGCTAAATTTTAAGTGTGTTAGTGCTTTAGAATTAGGGGAACTAAAAATTAAAGTTAGTGCTTTAGGGTTGGTACAACTCAGTTTTAGATTAGTGCTGCCCACCACTGCTTTTGAGGCAGGGGTTGCGCCATGCCTTTTTGCTCCACGTGTGGGAAACTGCAAATTATTTGAATTTATTTGCCAAGACCTATTTGATGAAGTCAAAGTTTTAAATGTTTTTACATTTAAACAAAAATGGTTTAGTAAACACATTGACATAACTAAGTTAAATAAATATAATATTGCATTTCTTGCACATCACCATATATACTGTATCTATCCCAGAACAATCACTGAAACTTCAGATTTAAGGAGATGAAATGACTTTATACCTGGCACATTATCTCCTTCAGCATGGGCTCACACAGCTCATGACCCGCCTTCTCCAGAAGCTCGATGATGTCCCAGTATCTCTCCGCGATCATGTTGTCGGTTTTCTGGTCGCAGCAGCCAAACTCCTGGTACTGCGTGCAAAACTCCAGGTGCCACTGAGGCTTGAAAGGTGGCTCGAAATCTAGGCACTGTGGGTGGGCTGCCGCTGGCTGGACCCCGACAAGCAACACGGCTGACCAGATCAGCCAAGTCCCAGGTGAGCTCGGAGCTGCGGCCGTGCGTAAAAGCGCGCAGCAGGCACCGCGTGGACTGCGCGCTGCGTTTCGCGTGCTTGACATTTTTTTTACCGTCCGACCCTGAAAGATTTCGCTGCGTGCTCTTGCCTTTATGGGCTGGGAACCGATGTATACGAGAATGGATGAGTGCAGTAAAAATATGGGGGGGTTGCAGCAAAGAGCTTTACGCACAGCTATCTAAAGAAGCACGCTCTCCTGTACGCAAAACAGGAGCTGAATAACAGGGCCAAGTGTTGAGGCATGCACACTTAAAGGGGTCACAATGACAGAAACTGTAATTATGTCGCACTTCCCTGTGGAAACGCCTCCGGACAGAGCTGCCTGCCTGTAAGTCTGTATGTTATAGCGGATCAGCTGTTCCAACATGTCAGAACTCACTTTGATATGAGTCTTGTGTTGATTACACCATATAGAGCTGGTGCCAAAAAAAAGTATTCAATTTTTGAGTCAGGTATTATTATTATTATTATTATAATTATACTGTTATTACGTAATTACATATCCCTGTGATGGACTTGCCATAGGGGTGTACCCCACCCCTCACACTGTGAGTGGTAGATATGGGCACTAGTGAACCCCGTGACCCTGAAAGGAAGAAGCGGGTATAGATAATGGATGGATCAACGTAATTACATAAGTGATCAAAAATGTTTCCTCTTAAGAGCAGCATGAAGTGAATAAACAAACTGTCTTTATTGTAGTTTTCATCGTTATCTCTTCAGGCTTTCTAATCAGGGGTGTCGCAGTGACAGAGTCAAAGTCAAACATTCCCCCTTATATATTTGTTATTTACCTGGCACATACTGTACATTGGTCTAACTTATGCAGCATGTGATAATTAATAAAATGTTGGGGTTAATGAATTTATGTCTGTGAGGATTTAAATGTGAATTTCTGTGAGTGGGTAATGTTTAGTAATAAGGTGATGTAATAATGTTAAATTTCTTTTTATAAAGTTTTCATAAAATGTCTTTATAGGTTTTATTTGACCTAGTTTATGTATGTCAAACAGAGGGGTTGAAGGAAATTTTGTAAACGATTAACTGGATGTAAGATCCAGCTGTTTTTTGTTTTTTTTTTCTGATCGTTGCAGCCTTAAGTTTAAAGTGATTGAGAGTTGGTGWGTGTCTTATTGATGTGTTCTCTTTGTAACACAAACAAAAGTTAGTTACGTTCTACATCTGTTGTAAAAGGTAACACCTCCAGGGGTGTAACCAGGAACACAYGTACATTATAAAGGTCAATTCATTATTATAGAGGTTAATAAAAAGAAGTGTTTTTAGAAGTTTGCAGTCTCTCTGTTACAACTTGGGACAGCTGAGCTGTTGAGAGGGATTGTTGTGTTTTGAGAAGAAATCCAAGTGGGTTCCTGCTATTATTCAGATTTCCATTTTTGAATGACACTTCTCTACAGTGTGATAAACATTTCCTGAAATGTTTGTGCTTTTCTGATGGCTAGATTAATTTAAATATCCAATACCTAAGGTCCAACTCTTAAATAATGTGATTAGGCTCAAATTTCTGTCGGATGTAGCTCTATTTGCGATAAAATGTCCCTCCCATCCTAATCAGTGCAGTGTATTTTTTCAACGTCAAGCAAAATAATAYAYATGTTAAAGTTTGTTTTATGAGTTMTATTATGAGACSGAACACCAAAGAAGATTTWACAGGTTTATTGTAAATCTGGAAAGTTGACTAGAGCGGGTAACAGGCAGTCATCAGATGTGGGACCTCTAGGCACAAGAGAGCAATGTTAGTGGCTGCAGGGAAACTGACTAACACAGAAATGGTAAATTAACCTGTGAGTCTGGGAATGAGCCCGATAATAGGTCCTGACAGTTTTGTTGCTGGAGATTCCAATGATGTCATGGGGGAACCCAGGAAGTAGTTTTCTGAACTTGGGCTTGGGCAAACCTCAAATTGTGCATGCTCTCTAACTCACACAGGGTCAAAACATACTTTACAGAATCATAGATACATCCACTACCAACATTATTTGTTTAGATGTTGGTCAATCCTTTGACTACACACATTTTGTTGGCCATTCCCAAACTTCTAGTGTAGTTCATGCTGGATATTTACTCTTCTTGACAGAATTGGTAGCTTTCTGACTCAGAACACAAGTCCACAAGTTTAAAGAGATGAGGGACAGACCATTCCAGTCTACCATTGGGGGCGGACTCTCTCTATTTATTTATTTATTGAATCATTTACTTTTGTACAACGATTCAGCAGAGGTCTATAAAGTAGGGTAGACCGGGTATGGTTGTAACACTTTTTGCTTCATCATATTTACAGGGCTGCCCAACACTGGTCCTCAAGGACCCATATCCAGTAGAGATGGGCAAATGAAGCTTTTCTGAAGCACTGAAGCTTGCTTTGAAAAAGTGTTCATTACTCGAAGCTTTGCAACACAGTTCTCTTTGGCTCCATCCTGTGGACAAAAGTATGAAAAGCTGCTTGAAACAACAAAGTGAAGCAATTCATCGTGATGGAGTTGACAGTTTTTTAATGAGATATTTCTGTTTGATATCAGGCTGTCATTGTGTTGCTTGAACAGATTTTATTTATTTCTTTCTTTGTTTATTTTTTGTGGGTGGGTATAAAGTTACTGTTGTTAATGGTTTATCATAAATAAATAAATAAATAAATAAAT